CTGCTAAACACCAGAACCCCCAATTTTCCACTTAGGCCACAGCAAGTAAATTTTATGGATGACATCCTCCGCAGACTCCAAATCTGCGAGCGGGCGGAAAAAAACAAGGCGGGCCGAAAAACAAGGTCCCTACATTTTAGAATTTTGACTCAATCATTGTACAAATGGTTTTTATTCGATGGGATCATCACATATACACAGCCAGCATCACTGCATCAAAGTAGGAAACAAAACATTGAATCAGAGCCTTTTCTTGTCTCCTCTCTTCATAGTTATCTGCCATCCACCTTCCGGCATGACAGCAGACATCTTTGCCCATTTTCGGCATGGTGACCACTGTCAGAAGGCAACAAAATTTCTTGTTTTTTTTCCCCAAAATCAGGCGAAAATTAATGCGCGCGCTGATGTCATCCATAAAAATTACTTGCTGTGGCCTTATGCTGGCTTCTTTGGCGACATATCAACCTGTATTCTAGACCAAATAGCAGGGCGAGGCTGAGGATCGGTGGAACGTGATCGCGTGGCGCAAGTAGTCACCAAATTAGTAAGGATCGTATGTTTCCGCGTAATGGATCGTCTGTATTCCGTAAAATTCGTATGTTTCTAGTTAACTATGTTTTCTAGTTTTTCATTTTCTTCCTCCGACATGTTTACGACATCAAATTTCATTGGGAATTAGTCGTAGAAGTGTCGTATACAATTTGTCTTCGGTCATGTCATTTCATTTCCTGCCTACGACAGGTTTACGGCAGCAAATTGGATTGGGGATTAGTCGTAGACGTGTCGTATACAATCTGTCTTGTGACGCTAAAGATTATGGTAGATCCATGCCAACCACCGTTCTTTCATTGCCCTCTTAAGAACTTCATTGCCCACTTGAAGACTTCATCAACCGCTTGAACAGTTTGGTAACAGCCATGACATAGAAAGAAAGTTTTATTGCAAATTCATGCCAGAGGGCTAATTGCAAGAACATGATAACAACAGTAAACAGTAGAATGATAATAAGTGATGCTAATGCTACTTTATATATACACTTGTAGTTATTGTTGGGTTTGATTTCTTTTCCGTGTGCAGTGGAGTATGAAATGGCCGACATATACGTAGCCTCCATAGCATGCCAATAACTGGGGGTTTGGGGGTCTTCAGGGTCTTTGTGAGCTTTTATGTGCTATTTTCTGATTGCATATAGAACATAGCCGGCCTGGTTGAATTACCCCCGTTTTTAGAACTGGGCTAATCAGAAAACAGCCGAAGACCACCAAACCCCCAGTTCTATAGGCCTGCTAGCATGTACGTGTTTTTTGGGTCGGAGGTGCGCATGCGAACTAAGCAGCAGACTATGTATGAGACAAACTATTTTTTAGTAATCGACCACGGGCGACCTTTGTGACGACCTCTGTAATTGAGGTCCAGGCAAATCTTATTTTCTTTCGTCTGCCAAAAGAGATTGGTAAAAACTACGGGATATATATACGTCCATACGTGGTTCCAAGGTTCGAGTTGCGCAGGCCTACTTACCGGTAGACTAGCACGTCGGCAGATTCGAACATTCTGCAACCGCGCGAAACCCGTAACGTATTACTACTATACATAGCACTTCGGCAGAACGTCTCATATAAGGTCATATTCGCGCATATAAAGTTAACATCCCGTCTGTAGTTTCCAAATATTGTGTCGGAAAAAACTTCGTCTGCAACAGGCAAATAATTGTGGTGGGGTCGTGTGGCGTAGTGGCAGAGTGCGCGACTCGGAACCTAGAGGTCCCGGGTTCGAGTCCTGACATGCTACCGATCTTGTGCCCTTGGGAAAAGGCACTTAACACGACTTTCCTCACTTCGCTCAGTTGAAAATGAATATTGTCCTGTCATGTATTTGTCCCCTGTGTTGGTGGCGGCATTAATATAAGTTGAAAAAACTTGAGCGTGCCGTCACCACGTCTGGTGATTACATTTTGGAAAAAATATTACGTTGGAAAAGATATCCTCTGTAACAGGCAAAATTCTGATGAAACGTTGACCTAACATCCAACGAAAACCGTGAAAAATGGGGTTTTACATAGGCGCAGTACTTTCCGCCGACGTACTTACTTAGGCCGCAGCAAGTAATTTTTATGGATGGCATCATCGCGCGAATTAATTTTCGCCTGATTTTGAAAAAAAAAATGTTGCCTTCTGACAGTGGTCAACATGCCAAAAATGGGCAAATATGTCTGTTGCCATGCCGGAAGGTGGATGGCAGATAAATATGAAGAGAGGAGACAAGAAAAGGCTCAGATTTAATGTTTTGTTTCTTACTTTGATGCAGTGATATGTGATGCTGGCTGTGTATATGTGATGTTCCCACTGAATCAAAACCATTTGTACAATGATTGAGTCAAACTTTTAAAATGTAGAAACCTTGTTTTTTTCGCCCGCTCGCATTAGATTTGGAGTCTGCAGAGGATGTCATCCATAAAATTTACTTGCTATGTCCTTACCGACAGAGCGTGAGATACACACATAATTTGCTGATTAATTAACCACAAACGACCTTTACATCTGGACTAATCCTCCAGAAGAGGATAATTTCTGAGATGACGTCGTCAGCTCGGCACGTTCTCAGTCTCCTGAGACCGTCAGCAGACCTGACGACGCTAGCGTTATAGGAATTATGATGTGAACACCTTAGGCCATGTTGATTTGATTATATGGATGACATCCGCGCGCGCATGAATTTTTGGCCGTTTCCAAACAGAAAAAACGTTTTCGACCATACTGTAAATCATACAAAACAGTTCCAAAATGAGCAAATATATACTGTAACTTGCAAAACGAATATTTGAAAACGATACCAATGTCGTAGAATGCCAAAATCAAACGAAAAAGACGAAAATGTAAAGAAATGAATTTGAAGACTAGATTATTCGCCAAACCATACTCTGTGCCATTTGTTCAACCTTCAAAACCACGTGGATTTCATAATGAAACCAACTTTTTTTGCCAAACTTTTTTTATTTGCACGCTCGCATCAGTTTTGAGGTTCCCAGAGGATGTCATCCATATAATCAAATCAACATGGCTTTACTGTTATTCTTCAGATAGACGTTCCTACTGAAATTGCAGAACGAAACATGGCTTACGTGACCATACGCACGTGCACACTTGTGTGTGTTCCTTGTGGGACCGGTTAGTGTAGGACGCTTGGTTTTACCCCGTCCATCTTCTCCTGGACAGGGCCTGAAAATCCCCACATGTTCTCTTCAAGGAAAACGTACAACATAACTCCAGCGGTGGCTAATAACTCACTACACGATGTTAGTGGCAAAGATGCCAAGAGGCTTCTTACAGCTGTGGAACTAGATTCGGCTAGAAGTACAATTAGTTATGTTTACCGAAGGAAAACATATTGTCTTTCCTACGTTTCCTCTTCTTCCTCATAAAGCCACCTCGTTCACTGCGCTCACTCAGTGGCTTCATTCGGTGGTTATAGCAACTGACAAGGCTTTTTCACACCATATTCACCTCCGGGCGGGTCATTAACAATGACCTGATTTTTTAAAGTCTCTCACCATGGTAACTGGTATTGGGTTACATCATGTTGCAATTTCATTGTAGGAGGGATTTATACTCCTGTCTGACCATATATATATATATGAATGTATTTGAGTAAAAATTAACAGTGCAGACCATATGCGAAGGTAAACATTATGCATTTGCTTTGCAAAGGTTACCTTTCTAGTTTTAGAACACTAATGTCTATATTGTTTACCAAATCATAAAAAATGAGATATTGACATTTCAAAGGAAGAATGTCATTGGTATATCAAAGCAGTCGTTGCATAGTTTGGGGGCATTTTATATTGCGTATGGGGAAGCATACTTGAATCTTTATGAGTAAAATATCACATAGACATATACGCCAAATGAAATATTTGAAAAGCTGTCCAGGTTGGTATTGTATTACGGATAAAGAATGGGCATCGTCACTTCAGGGCCGGTCGCCAGGAATATAAGTCATGCTCACAACACGTTTTCACTGGGAGTCAATGTCAAATCATGTAATAGCAGCGTCGATTTTCACTCTCCTGGCTAGCATCCTTTTCAGGCGTTCCGGGATCGGTCGTTTTTTTAGGGGGGGGGGAGATTTTCTGATCAAACGTAGATCGCACGCAATAGAAGCTCCGGTCGGCAACCCTACATAGCCATCCCTAAGGAGGCTACTCCTGGCAAGCTCTTTTTAATAAGAGCGGTGCAAGTTCAAAGAAAAATTGAGAAATGTACAAGTAGATATACTTGTATTGCACATTGTTTGTGTGGCAACCAACCGCCCTTTCCAGCTTTTGACAGATGAAACCGGGACGAAAGATCAAAACCATGAGACACGCACATTAGGCAATTAAGTTACTACTTCTTACGTCTTCTTATACTGATTGATTATCAGATTAAGATTAAGATTCCTGGACAGATTAAACTCAGGGGAAGCATTCTTTCAATTTTTTGTACTTTTTTCTAGTTCCCTAGCGAATAACTAATTAGGGCAAAGCTGAAAGACATTTTTCTCTTCCAAGTTAACGTTATTATCGACAAAATCAAATCTAGGTCTTTACTGCGGTGTATCTGTAGGTCAGGGAGCCATGAACATAGTTCGTCACGTTTGTCACGTAAGCATAGCTTACTTACCGGAAAGCCTCATTAATTAGATCTAACTAGAAAAAAAGGTAACATTTGCAAGGCAAAAACATTTTGTTTACCTTCTCATATGGTCTGCTCTGTTAATTCTTACTCAAACACATTCATACATATGGTCAGACAGGAGTCTAAATCCCTCCTGCTATAAAATTGCAAAATGATGTAACCCAACACTAGTTACCATGGTGAACAGACGTCTGGTTCAGGTCATTGACCTTATTTGCTTGGAGAAGAAGAAGAAGAAACTGAGCAAAAGCAACGTGGTTTCCTTCGGTAAACATAATTAAAGATTATGCAGATTCTAATGGAGATTTTTTTGTTTCACCGCAGGTAACATCCTCATCATCGTGACCCTCATCAGATGTAGGCGGCGTCTCCTTCAACCGCTGCCGCCTTACTGTTACCTACTCGCCCTGGCAGTCTCCGACCTGCTCTACCTGGTCTCGGTCCTGGTCCTATCGCGCACGCTCAGAACCATGACCTTTCACCTGCCGGATCCCGAATGGTATTATGGGAAGTTCTGTGCGTACAACGTGGTGGTTGGCTACACGGCGTCCTACGCCTCCGTCTGGACCGTGGTGGCTTTTAGTGTAGAGAGGTACATCGCCATCTGCCACCCTTTCAGACACAGGTACGAGAAGACATTCTTTACACGTATTCATCATTTTCACACTTCCCATAATGCCTAGTGCTGGTCACGGATATGACGTAAGAAGCGGATAGACTCCAAACAGGAGTGACATGATGGCATTTCAGTATCCAGTTCTTCTTCTTTCGTTTGGCAAAGTTATTAGTTTTGGTTACATATGTAAGCAAGTTGTTTACAAGCCTATGTAGGTCACAGTCTCCAAAATGATGAACATCCAGTTGAATTTTGGCGTTAGGTTGTGGTTGCTTCGAAAGTGATTTACCCATGATGCACTGAGAACTGTCATGGCGCTGTGACCAGCACTAGGCATTATGGGAAGTGTGAAAATCATCAATTACAGCGACTTACCGATTTTATCTAGATGTCGACAGCGTTTAACAGCCAATCGGATAGTACAACAGGTGGTTGTAAGTTACAACCACCTGTTGTAATGTCCGATTGGCTGCCAAGAGGAGAGGGCTATGATTAGGGGTTTATGAGAACCTTGAGAATCCATCAAGCTCATTATTCATCCTCCAAAAAACAGTTACTCAAGCAACTAGATATGATTTTGGAGTTTTGGCGTATCTGATTACCTGGATATCTAACACCGACGTATCATTATTCAGCCTTTATCATACATTTCAGGGCACTTAATGATATATTAGTAACGTTAAATCCTATAACGTTATAATTCTATCACAACCTTTGGTCGGTGGTGTCAATCTATAGGAAATTGGGATAGGCATGGCACAAAAAAGACATCCTAGTTTATATGAAAGAAAATGTGATTTTTACGACATTCTATGGCTAAGAGGAATCCGTGACATGGTACATCCTTTATGGAACTCTAACGCGCTCCTTTGACCTTCAGGGTTGGATCGTCGCTCAAGCTGACCATCAAGGTCATCATGGCGGTGTGGTTCTTCTCCTTCCTGCTGGCCCTGCCCTACCATTGGCTGGTCGGTCCCAGTTACGTGACGAGACTCGTGGACGGCCGTAACGTGACCGGTGATTGGTGCAGACCGATAGACAGAGGCGTGACCTTTACCCTCTCCCTTTCGTGGATTTCTACCATTTTCCATTTTCTTGTCCCTTTCACCTTGACCAGCGTTTTTGCCGTGCAAATTGTATGGGCCATAAGAATGTCAAGGTCAAGGGTCAAGACGCATGCGCGCTTCCACCCAAGTTCCCAGACAGCCCTGTCCTACATGCTAGTACTTCTATCGTCTATAGCTCTCGTTCTCTTCATGCCAATTAAAGTTTTGAAGCTGTACATGTATTTCAAAGGCCTCGCGCCCACCTCCCCACAAATAACACTGCTATGGCACTCTTTTACCATGCTATTTGACATGAATTCCTGCCTAAACTTCTGCTTGTACTACCTAGCCAGCCGAAAGTTTCGTAAAGCCCTGAAGGCCAAAGTCTTCTGCTGTCTTCCCGGAAATAACTTGCCGGAAAGGCTGTCGACTCTCAGAAGTGGCGCCAAAGAATATGGGATTGAGTTGAAAACCATTGCAACTAGCCCAGGGCCGTTGGCACCCCCTTCTTTTCAATTTGAATAAATTCAAACAAATTGATGTTTCTATTTTAGGAAAAACGCGATGGCTAGAATGATGTAGTGTTTTGATGTACGTGACCAGAACTGGGCAATGTCGGCTTTGCAAATCTTCCCATTTTGACGTGCTAAGGCCACAGCAAGTAAATTTTATGGATGACATCCTACCCAGACTCCCCAAATCTAATGCGAGCGGGCGAAAAAAAAGCAAGGTTCCTACATTTTCAAATTTTGACTGAATCATTGTACAAATGGTTTTGATTCTGTGGGGAAATCACATATACACAGCCAGCATCACATATCACTGTATCAAAGTAAGAAACAAAACATTAAATCAGAGCCTTTTCTTGTCTCCGATCTTCATAGTTATATGTCGTCCACCTTCCTGCATGGCAACAGACATCTTTGCCCATTTTCGGCATGTTGACCACTGTCAGAAGGAAAAACAATTTTTTTTCTCCAAAATCAGACGAAAATTAATGCGCGTTGATGTCATCCATAAATATTACTTCCTGTGGCCTAAGTATAACATATATGGTTAGGTGTGGTCGGTTGTCTGATGTAATATAACCTACAACCAGAGGCGTGTCTTTAATATCGTATTGCGTGCTGCCGAAATCTGTAGGGTGTACGTAAAAGACGAAATTCATCTCGGGTGAAATGAGGACACATGGTCTCTGTATTAACCTCCATAGCATGCAAAAAAATGGGGGTTTTGGGGGTCTTCAGGGTCTTTGGGAGCTTTAATGTGCTATTTTCTGATTGCATATTAGACAACATAGCCGGCCTTGTTGAATTACCCCCGTTTTCAGAACTGGGCTAATCAGAAAAAACAGCCGAAGACCACCAAACCCCCAGTTCTATAAGTCTGCTATACGGAGGCTATCTCTATTTTGTCGTGGCCTAGGTTTTATTTGTTGTAAATTTTGTGATGGCTTGTCGCAAGGTTTCTCACAGATAATCGACTAGGTATGACTATTTCACAGACATAAAAAAATACATAATTGAATAAAGTTATCGTTATTTGGCGTGTATCATGTCATATCTACTGTATGGAATTGTATTGTATGTGTTATTCGGAAATTGTGGATCGCATGCGTGTCAGCCTAGCCTTGAGAAAGAACAAGTCAGCTCCATCTTGTAGAAAGATGACATTTTATTGCATAACGTTTTCCGACTATACAGGGTAAAGACTAATATGCATAAATTATACATACCGTACGTGTTTGTACTTACCGTACGTATATTTTTATATGGATACAGAAATATACAGTCTGTATATCCATTTTAATTTTAATGTATATTTATGTGGTATGTGACTCTGTGATTGCAAAGTGTAACTGTAATTGTAGGTGGAAGAAAATGATGAATAACATGTGTACTTTTTAAGACTTTAGAATACATTTCTGAACACCAGTGAACTGTTGTATCTCTTGTATAACACATGTGTAATTATTATGTGTATAATAATTTATTTACATTAATATTGGATCTTAGAAAGTACATGATATTTGAAGAATGTCAACAATATCATTTAAAATGTGCGATATATGTATATCGTACTCGTCCGTATATATCTTTATAACCTTATACATATAAACTTTTGATGAAGAATACTATACTTCACAGAATAAAACCTGACTTAGTTCCAGTGAACTAGCCTCATATTGCATTGCTTGCACATTTGTGTGGCCCAGGGGCTATAGAAACTGAGATGGGCGCCGCCCTATACACCATATGGTGTGGTTTGAGGACTCTAACTTACCAATACTCTCCAAGCAGAGGTTTGGGTTTTGGGTTATTTTTGGTGTGTTTGTAGGCTTTTTTATCGGGGTTTCTTTCTTGCACTGGAATTTTTTTTGGGGGTTGGGTGGAAAAAATTCCAGTGCAAAAAAGAAACCCCGATAAAAAAAAGCCTAAAAACACGCCAAAAATAACCCAAACTCCAAATCTTTGCATGGAGAGTAACTAACCAGTACATTGCTAAGCTGTTCAAAGTTTCAATGGTGCTGATGCTATAAAAACACACTTTTGGAAAAAATCAGTACCGTATCAGAATCGGGGGCAATGTCGTCACGCAAACAAGCAAGAAAATCACCAATAGGCACCTGTCAGCAAAGACGCCAACCAGCTTCCATTCGTACTGAATCGCCGCCTGCAAATCTTTCCTCCTTTTTCTCCTGACAATTTCACGGTAAAGTTCTGTCATGACGTCAAGGCGGCGCTGCAATACTTCCAGCATCCGCTTGAGGCGCTTGCTTGACCGTCTCTGAGACTTATTACGTTTCCTCTTCTGATGACGTAATGGCTTCTCTAAATCTAAAGGCGGCAAAGGCCGTCCACGATTGGTCACCTCGCTACCAATGTACGTCTCCCTCATTCGGTGATAGGAAAACATTTTGTGTCGCTTGACGCCATTGGATGATGGCGTTTTGGACCAAGATTGTTCATTGGCTGAATTGTGTTGCCCCTTACATTGATTGACAGTTGCTTCCCCAGTTTCACTGTCGACACCACTAGCTACGCTGTTGCGGCGAATGACGTCATCGATGTCGTCACGAGGGTACAGAACTAGCCCCGGAGTTGGTCTCGGCCTATCACCAAGAGCTATCCGCCTTAGCCAATCAGGAACTGGCTTTATGTTGGGTTCGGGAAAATGGAAGTTCAAAGTTGCCGCGGTTACGAATGCCGAGAGTCCCACAATGACCAGTATGGCCGCATAGAATTGTCCTGGAGGATAAGTAAGAAAAAAGATCAATTGCTAAAAGTCTCGCGTGAAGTCGCGTAAAGTCTCGCGTGACTAAATTCACGTGTCTATAACTCTCGCGGGTTTACGTTCAACTCATATTTTGAGCACAATGCATGATGGGATACCAGGATACGGTTATTCTGCGCATGCGCCCTACAGAAATCTAGGAGGGACATCACATCGTAATACAAGGTAGGACGATGGACATTCAAAAGAATTACATACAAAACTAAAAAAGATAATAGAATTACATGCATATTTACGAAGACAAATGTCTTACCTAGCACAGGGACGTCGTGGGAATCCGGCGGAAGCTTTTCTGCCAAAAGTTGCAGGTAAAACACGACGGAAAGCAGCATGGTGATACTCAGGGACAACTTTTCCTCGCAATCCGGTGGCAGCAAAAACCCCATGAGAGTCAAAACCATGATGATTACACACGGTGACACGAAGTAATAATAATAATACAGCGGACGCCGTACTATCTTGATGTAGTACATGACGTCGACGTAGGGATGGGGACAACAGTTGTAGAGTATGACGTTACGTTCAGCCACCATGGACACTAGTTCCCATTCCTCGTTCTGTACAGTGTCAGTGATGTCACCAACCGAAGACATGTTGTAAAGCTCAAGCGCCTGGTTGTCGTTGGTCCAAGAGCCAAATTGTAGAGGACAAATCTGCGAGGAAAAAAAACACGAGAGTTGGGTTTCTGTATAACACTTTGAGAACACTCAAGACTCAAGAATTATTTATTGATCATTCGCAGTAAACTTTAAGTACAAGTTACTGAATTGCAAATCAATGAGCATTTCAGAATTCGAAAGTGTATACTATTACTCATAAATTCATGAAGGTAAAACACAGAAACGTTAGAAAATATTAGAGGGAATACATAAAACACAATACTTTCAAATGTGAGATGTGTGTGTCTTCTATAGCACTGCATTGCACTTTTATACGTCGTTATGTACCACTGCAAATTCACAATACCAACTTTATATTCCTGTGGTTTAGTAGCATTTTTATGGCTGGAATTTTTTTATTCGCCCGCGCGCACTAGTTTGGGGGTCTTCTGAGGATGTCATCCATAAAATTAAGACGGTATGGCCTAATATCTAACTCAATCTAACCAGTTCCAAGAAACTGTTACCTGTTCGTCGTTGGGAAATCCCAGCAGCCTTTGCAGACAGGTGCTCCTCATGGTGATAATGTACGTCCACTTCACGTGACCTGTGTGGTTCAACTCTGCCCACGTGTCTGGTATAACTACCTCTTCTTCCTGTTGTCTGTGGATATACAATAGAATTGAGTATCAAATAATACGCAATCATATGATACTCCAGCACACAATGACTTAAATATCTGCTTTCGTTCTGTACAAGGAGGTTTTAAAAATACAAAAATACAAGAGGAGCTAGGACGCAATTAACACCCCGCTGTGCCTATTGTTCAGACCCGCCAGATCCCGCGGCGATCTATTGTTTCCGCCCTCCTTGTTCTGTACAATTACCCACTCATTTACTCAGTCACTCCAAGGAGGTTACTCACACGCTCGCTCGCTCACTCACTCACTCACTCACTCACTCACTCACTCACTCACTCACTCACCCACCCACCCACTCACTCACTCACTCACTCACTCACTCACAAACTCTCACTCAATCACTCGCTCACTCAGTCACTCACTCACTGACTCACTCACTCTCAGTCACTCACTCACTTAGTCAGTCAGTCAGTCAGTCACTCACTCACTCACTCACGCACTTACTCACCTCTCACTCACTCACTCACTCACTCACTGCTAAATTGCATAGCACAAAAACAGATATTTAAATCAACTTTCCGAACTACGCAAAGAGTCATTAAAGGTGGTGAAATATTTCAGCAGACTTTACTTATGATTTCGGAAAACCAACTGAAAGGCAAATCTAATTTTTCGGTAACCTTTCCACATTTGTAAAGGTGACGTAAATACTGTGTTTATGTTTTTAATGGCTAATTATACCTTAGGAACAATACATGCTGTATATAGAATGTTAAACATTATCTTTATCACTTACCTGTTAAAGAGGTATATGTCAGGCCGCCATATCTGTTCACTGGGGATCCGGATTTTACTGAGGCCGTTAAACACATCCGGGTCCCAGACAAGGTACTCGTCCCTCCAGTACTGAGGAGAGAAGCGACACTTAGCGGTCAATCAGAAAATTGCAGTTCCATTGACTTTGAAACCAAAGTAGGACCTCCATGAAAAATGGAGGTATTGTTTTTGGCATGTCTGTCTGTGTGTGTGTGTGTGTGTGTGTGTCTGTCTGTCTATGTTTGTTTTTCCGCACATTTGTAGTCAGCATAACTTCAGAACGCCTTTATGGATTGTAATGATATTTGGTATGTTGGTAGGTCGTAGAAAGACAAAGGTCAAGGTCAAATATAGGCCTCCTGGTGGCTGACCTTGGTACTGAAGCAGAAATTTACAAGAACTCATATTTCATGGAGGTATGAGATCTCCGAACTCTTGTTACTCTTGATGTGGATTTATTGAATCTAACTACTGATACTATCTAATGTAAAGAGCTATCAAAGGCGGTGAAATATTTCTAAATACCTGTTTTACACGTAGATTTGTGATGAGCAACTGGCTTTTCGAAACCTGTAGAAGAAAGAAAAACAGTCCATCATCATCACTATTAAGCGATGGTAGAACAAGAAGTATACAACAAGCTGTATTTGTCATATGCAGGGATGAAACTTCAACGTGTTTTAATTTGCTGTCCATATAAGAAGGAGTATTATACAAAAGCATGCCTTTTATGCAAGGGTATGGCAACAAAGTACAGCAAAAACGTAACTATATATAGCTAAATTAAATTCATTATTCATTGTATTTTATATTTCACAACACCCTCTGAAGTTATAGTGCCATAATCTCCAAGCACATCCTAGGATGGCAAAAAGACAGTTACTGTATCAAATTGGCATGGCAGTATCCAGGGTGGCGTATTGGACCATCTCTGGCCAATAGATACTGCCTGGCCAATTTTATACCGTCTTTTTGTCACCCTAGGATCTGCTTGGAGATTAACAGTGCCAAAACTGTGAGTAAACTGTAAATGGAGGTCCTGTGTTTAAGGACAGCCACACCCCACGCACGTTAAAGAACCCACCACACTTATTGAAAAGAGTAGGGGACCTTCCCGGTGTGAGTGGTTCAAACCTTACAGTCTGGTCTTACATGTAGAAAACTGGTGTGTTACGCCTAAAGGCGGTTTACCGGTTATGCGAAACAAACAAACAAACAAACAAACAAACAAATAAACAAACTCACCACTTCAATGATCTGATGTAGAGCCACGTCCAGATAGACCGCTATCGCCTCAGTACTGTTAATCTTAGGTCTCACTCCGGGGCTGTAGTCCGTCATCAAAAACCTCCTCAAACTGTTCTCTGTTGTGATGTTAAGCGCAGCTCCCAGAGCTAAAAATAAAACACATTAATTTAGGCCACACCGACTTTATTTGTTGGTTCTTGTTGATTTTTTAAAGAAAAAATATGAAGCGACAGGGCAAAAAAAATAAAAATAAAAACAGGTCTAGGCATCCTATTATAGACCCAAATGCTACGATAGGAGCCATGAAGTCAACACAAAAGGCTGGGTTAGTATTTAAACAATGAATTTTGAACTTTTAATCAAACCACTGCATTGATAGATGGAAAAACTGTAACAACTAGGAAGAAAAAGACTTTCCTCAACTGTTGGGGGCAAAATATAAGCATATTTGAGTTGATACAGAACCAGAATCTTTTTTTTTTTTGCAAATCACACCAAAATGGAGAGGCGAATCCGAGAACAAACAAATTAAATTGGTGTGACCTCAATTAATGCTGTGTGAAAGACGTTAAAACGGTGGTTTGCAGGTCATGATTTGATTGGCTAAACCTTACGTCATTTTTCTGTGTAACCTTGCTTCTTTAGTTTCCTAGTGTTATTCAAGATTCTGTTTCTTTGCTTTTCTATGGCCGTGACATGGTATTTTCCCACTAAGTAGCTAGCTATGGGCGGGGGTGGCTCTAAATGACAATCGACGTTCCTAGTATTGTTATTTGAGACTTTTAACTCCCCCGAAAGGCCACCAAAAGCATTCTTCTCTTCTTAATTGAGCCTAACAGTATTTAACTCTGACCTTTGAAGACCTCAGACTGTAGGTACGGCCTTCATGTCAAACATTGTGCATAGTGGTTGGTTAAAAGCAACTATGAGCCTCACAGGCTTTTTACGGACCGACACCCAAAACTCTCACAACATAAGTCATAAATCATACCACACAAAGTTGGAGAATTCGTATTTAAGTCATTGTAGGATGAGTTAGTAGCATAGAATGTTAAAGTCATCCAGTGCAGTTTTTAGGGCTTGGAATCCCGATCTTTCAAAGCTTGTCATTTATCTACATACTGAGTTAAAACAGCACTATCCCAGTGTATACGGACAGTCATGGAGCAAAAATTACCAAAATTCTGACGGAAAATGGTTATAAATTACTGGAAGGGCTCTGGACTGATTTTTAGGGTACCACCCATAAAATAAAGGAATCATCTTGGGGCTTGTTTCTGCAGTTTTAAATGCCCAAAGTATGAAATGCTGATTTAAATGTGAAGCAGTATGTGTCAATATCACAGATTGCCTTATTCAGAATATTTCCAGTTTTGCTGCCCTGAAATCGCATTGGATGCCTTTAAGAGCTAAAAACATAAGCGTTACGCTGATAATGAATGAAGACCTTTATTGTACGCTTGTGCTCTAACGAGCTAAGTACAGGTCATGGGTAAACAGGGAAAAGAAAACAGTAATGACACTTACATACTATATAAACTAATGTGATCTACTATTTACAGGTTCAGCTTCTTCTCGCTTCTTTACGAAGTTAAAGATGTACGAACATATTGAGCTAATTATACATGGTTTGTCAAGTTTCATGAGGAATTCGAATTTTTCTATTCTAGAGTCCATTCCGCGTCACCGAGTGGGTTTTTTCTCCATGTTTCTAATACGTTTGAATTATTTAGAAGAAAAGAACACCCCAGTAACAAAAGTTCTAAATTTTTCAAAAATTTGAAAATGAAAATTTGAATATATTTGAATTCATTTATATATTTCTGAAACATTTTGAATGTGACTGTACAAAGATCTCTTTCTTTAGAATAAATTTGAACTACCCATGTGTTTCTTTCACAATTCGAAATATTTAGAACTATTTCAAACAAATAACCAAATGGTAGATGTGGGTAATTGCCCCCATAAAAGTAGGTGCTAATCCTACTCTTCTGTCTTCCTCTGTATATTTTTAGATTTCACTGCTGGACACTGGTGGCTCTTTTGTTGTAAGGCATCAATGCCTGACACCCAGGCAGTCTGCCCTGTACTTCACAGGGATGTGTAAATTACTTCCTTCCCATCCCACTGACCTATCTACAAAATGTTTGAAATAATTCGAAATAATGGTAAAAAAATGGTAGAGTGCTGTTAGAAATATTTAGAAACTATTGGAAATGTCATAATCCACATCAGGAATATTTCAAACGTTTTAGAAAACCAGGGAATTATTTAGAATATTGACAAGATGTTCAAAATATTTCCAAATTATGAAATTTCTTAAAAAAACAATTACAAAGAATTCAAAACATTTCTAAATAATGACAATAACAACCCACTCGGTGACGCGGAATTGACTCTATCTAAATGTCTAAAGCTTGGGAACTTATCTATTACATAAGTATAGAGGGAATCCCTCTCATTTCTATATAATGTGCAGTCAACTACAAAATGGCATTCATCTTCAATATAATCTAGATTACAAAATTGGCAGATCCTTTGCTGTAGAGGAATGTGGTTGTGTCTTACGCTAATAATGAAGGGACCACGCGTAAACCCATTTTAAACGGTCTGCTTGGCTGCTCGCAAACAACGGTAAAGCCCGTGAAACATCTAAAGCTACAAGCTGGGCGGATTGAATTTCCACCGTGCAAGGTATGGCATTGTCTCCCAATTGTTTAGCGCTAATCGTACAGATTTTGTACATTCGTCGTCAAGTAAAATACATTCATCATGTAAAATAGAAAGCTACTGTTGAGAGAACGACTTCAAGCCTAGCCTCTACCAGGCTTCGGGAGACGGCTGGAAAGAGTAGAAATCGGTCAAATAGAGAGATAACATGCCGAGGGGGTTGGTCTGCTAAAAAGAACATTTTGCCGCACTTTGCAGACCAAATCCCTCGGCATGTTATCTCTCTATAGCTATTTGAGCGATTTCTACTCTTTCTAGCCGTCTCACCACGAAGCCTGGTAGAGGCTACTCCAAGCCGGCTATCGTCACTGGTTATTCTGTTGTAACAACTTGGCTCTTATTCCATATCAAGTTATGTTACCGATCCTGGTAGCTAATTGACTACAACGTAACGCTTAGGTTTAGCTCCTATTTGTATAACATTTTTGAATCTTAATTCAATTCTGCAACTTACATTTTTCAATTGGACTCGAAATTTAGAGCTGGGACTCAAATATGGAGGGAAGATACATGTAGATGATATGATACAGTGTCTCAGTACAGGAGTGTATAAACCAGTATTTAGTAGAAGTATCTGGCACAGTCTTTCTCCAGTGGGGTATTCTGGTGAATACCTGTGCCAATGAAAATACTCGGTCTCGAAATCAAGAAATGGGACTCACTGAATATAAAGAGAATATACATGATATAATACAGTGTCTCCGTACAGGAATGTATAAACCAGTATCTAGTAGAATACACTAAGTATCTGTCTCAGTGATACTATGGTATCATGGAAACCAGACAGGTAAACAGTATACAAAGAACGTACCGCATCATTTGTAAACCAGGTCAAACCCTAATCTGTGTAACGTTAACTCTAACTCAGGCCTGCTCTAACTTTTCAAGAGCCCCTTCCAAGTCCTCATTAACTGTATTGACCTGATCAGCGTGGCTGGTAGAAGCCGGATGTAACCAGTTTGGCAAGGCTCCATGTACTAGTATATTATTTACTACTACTGATAACAGAAACATGTGCTATCTTACCTAGACACATGGCGACAGTTGTATATGTAGTAACCACGGCATGGAATCCAGCCATGACGGCAAAAAATCGTACCAAACGTTCAGGGGTATCGCCCCGGTGTTGGTGTTAGCCCACCTGTCGTTGGAATGCCGGGGTATAATCACACGTAGGGCACACTTCACTCGACGGGTACTCCTTTGTTACAGACGAAACTTCCCGCTTTTATTTTCCTCTGGATCCCTTCCAAACACAGCCCGACAGCAGTTGTTTTAAGAGTGCCACCCAAAGTACACTGAACCAGGGTGTTGTAGGGGGGTGCCGACAAAAAGGCACAGTTGTCTTCATTTTAGAATCATCACTCCTCAATTGTCCTCACTGTCAAGAACAAAATGTCAGTCCACTCAAATTATTTAGGCATTCAGTCAGGCGGGCGGAGGCCTGAGAATCCTTACATTCTAAACCAAAGGACATGACAACAACAATCGACCATTCAGATGCACTCTCCAAGACACAACCCAAATCTCGCGACAGACGAGACGAGATTCAACGAGAACTGGTAAAGAACGCCGCCATTTTATTTTGAATCTGAGTGTGGAAACAAGTTACGTTTAGTATTTTAGTATACAAGCAAGTCTACCTGCACACTTTAACCAAGAGTCGCCATGAAACATTTACATGATTATATAGACCTTGTCGTTTCGCTACATAAATTTTCCCGCCGCACTTACAGTATTTACTCGGTCGCATGGTAACGCCCTTCGGGAACAAAGGACGGTATCTACCGTGAGAACATACCCATTCAACCTGAACTGTCGTGGTTAACGGAACACAAGCTATGCACCGTTACTGACAAGGATATCAGGTGAGCTCTTTGTCTCCCAATCTAGGCGTGCACTATTCTAGTACTCTGAACTTGTAGCAATCTTTTTAATGTTTCCTCACTGTACTGTGCATTTGTTGAATTACATTGTATATGAAAGTAGACCAGATTCTTAGTACAGTTAGTAGAACTGTTACATATTTTAGCATCACCAACTATGTATGTATTTAGCAACAACAGCTATGTATGGATGAATGAATGAATGAATGAATGATATTTTGCCATACGTTGTACTCGCTACAAATGTTGCGCAATAAAGTCCTTGTTCTATTTTCTTCTTCTTTGTTACAGTGATTATGACCTTATGAAAACGTTGATATAATTTTCTTTCAAAGTAGCACAGCTACTATTTCTATTATTACAGACATATATTAGAGAACATAAGATTTGACTTCCATCTATATACATCTACATAATATAGCGAAGGTTAGAAGTTAAAACATTGCGAAAATCGTTATACTTATATCTTTGCAATTGCTGTGCTTTTCTTCTAACATATCTCATAGCGCACTCGGATTTAGTCCAAATCGTCATTATATGAAATATTTACAAAAGCACAAAAAAGTTTGTGAGCTTATTGTTTTTGATAAGCCTATACAGTCTTACATATCTGTATTTTATTGTTTCTGATATTTCAAAATTTATGATACAGTGTATATATAATGCAACACCACCGACCTATTCATATCGCTAATTAAGTATATCATCGGCCAAGCTTACAATACTTGAAATTATTGTTGTAACAATGCAAATTCTGACAAAATCATTCATAACACTCACCCATAACAGGAGTATGAACAAAGATATCGTATTACACTGTGGCAGCTTATTGCTAAACCTGGCAACTCCAATCTACGAAGGCCCACAACGACACTTCCATACACCTCTTCCATAGCCCTTCCACACTGCGATGCCAAGGGATATACCTTCCATATATGATATATGGGCTGGGGAAGAGCGGTATGGAAGGTATATCCCTTGGCAGGGCGGTGTGGCAGGGCTTTGGAAGAGGTGTATGGAAGTGTCGTTGTGGGCCTTCGTACCAATTAGTCTATCATAAATCTTACACCAGTATGGCTATTGTAGTGATAGTAGCCACTATCACAAAGATCACCAGAAGACATTTGTCCACAAATATGGCGACCAACTTCCAATCATCACTGATATCCATCCGCCTGTCTTTTCTCAAAGAACGATCGACAATTTGCCGAAAGAGACGAACAACGAAGCTCATTTTGTGACGAAGGGGAGCCAGCAACTTTTCCTCTTGCTTATTTTCTTTGACTTTTTCCTCAGAATTGTCTGAACCAACCGACGACGCGCTACCGGACATGCTGTTGAACCCGGAGTCTTGTGCTTTGAGAGGCCTCCGGCGATTGGTCAGTTCACATTCCTCGGAAACCAGTGCTTTCTTCTTATTGGTGTCCTCTTCTGGGTCACCATCGTCCTGATTGGTTGGAATCAGGCTGGCCTCGCTATTGGATGGGTACATGTCTGTGACGTCGGTTGTCGCGGACTGTTTTTCGCGGCCTCTCAGTGCGATTCGGCGGAGCCATGTTGGAACAGGCGTGGGGTTGGGGCCATGAAAATGGATCCCCATCACAAAAATCACCATTGCGGAAGACAGTGAGATCGTGAACATTGTTGCGGCGAAGAAGCGACCTGGATGTCGGCGGGAAAGAAACAATTACAACTTTCTTTTAGTCGTAGGAGAATAGTAGCCTGGGTACCATCCTGGTTACTTTAAGTCCGCTTCTAGCACCAACTAGGTAGCGACTGTGGGAGCGGACGTAAACTAACCAGGATGGTACCCAGGCTAGGTGAAACGTGCTTGAATAATTACAGAATAAATTCGGGACTATACCATCTGAAAGAAATAACACGCAACCAACTGTGGTTCAAAAGGATGTCGCTAGGGGGCCTCAAATTCGAAGTTGACATCCCATGACTCGAACATATTCATATGTATGTTGATAGGAGTCTACATCCCTCCTGTCATAAAATTGCAACATGATGTAACCCAACACCAGTTACCATGGTGAGAGACATTCCGTTTCAGTCAGGTCAGAGGTCACTGTCTGGAGAAGAAGAAGAAGAGGAAACGTAGCGAAAACAATAAACGGTAAACATAAAAAGACGTCCCAACTTACCCAGTATGGGGATGTATCCGGAATGCGCCGGCAGTCTGTCGGCCAGTAGTTGCTGGTAGAACACTACAGACAGAAGCATGGTCACGCTCATGGTCAACTTCTCCTCACAGTCTGGGGGCACCTGGAAACTGATCAAGGTCAGGACGACCAAAATCAAAGATGGCGCCACCAGGTAGTAGTAGTAGTACAGGGAGCGACGTAACATCCGGACGGTGTACGTCACATCCGGGTAGGGCTCCGGGCAGCAGTTGTAGTAGGCGACGGTGCGTTTTGCGGTCATGCCGAGGAGCTTCCATTCTTCGTTCTCGATGACGCTGGAGGTGTCGCCGGTGGCGGACTTGTTCACGAGGTCCACGGCGAAACCGTCGTACGTCCAGGAGCCGAACTGAAGGTCACAACGCTGAAAAGAGGGACTCTGAATTACCTTTTTTTATATTCCATCATGTAATCACAAGACGTGGTGACGGCACACTCAGTTTTTTTCAACTTATATCAATGCCGCCACCAACACAGGGGACAACACAATACAATACTCATGAGCGAAGTGAGGAAAGTCGTGTTAAGTGCCTTTCACAAGGGCACAAGATCGGTGGCATGTCAGGACTCGATCCCGGGACCTCTTGGTTCCAAGTCGAGCACTATGTCGTTACGCCAAGCGACCCCACCATATGATATTTGGTATGTTGGTAGGTCTTAGGATGACAAAGGTCAAGGTCAAACATTGGCCCCCTGGTGGCTGACCTTGGTACTGTAGCAGAACGTCCGGTTTTTGTATCTTTTGTCCTGAACATGCTATGGTCTTGGATTTTTGGTGACAGATAGCTGTTCATGTCAGGAATATGTGTAAGTTTTGTCCCCCTAGTTTGTGATTTTGAATCAGACCTACACATATTTTGTAGACGTTAAACACACACAGAAAATGAAGATAATTCCGTTTTAAATCTTAAAAGATTTGCCCTGATGTTGTTTTAGATCATGAAGGTTCAATCTTACCTGTTCATCATTTGGGAACTGTTCAACATTCAGATGACAGGAACTCTTCAACGTGATTGGATATAGCCATGTGACGTCACCTTCATGCGTCACAATGGCGTTGGTATCCGGTACCACCACGTCCTCTTCCAGCTGCCTGTATCAGGAAAGCATGTGCATAAAGTACTTACTCTTCTTTCCACAGTAGACCGTTTACTCACATAATTCCACCAATGCTTATAAGGCATCCCGACCATTCTCTACCACAAAAAAAAATTTACTTCTAAAATCAAAGAACCCACATATTATAGAAGAAGTGGGTAAATTCGTCTTCCATTGCCTAAAAAGAAGAAGTCAAACCCAGTAAAACTAGTACCATGTATGTTGCAGAATATAGTATAATGCTAGACGTAGATGTAGTCTAACATACCACTGTATTTCTTATGTTGTTTGTAACTGCAATTAGCCCTAGGGCAAGTATTTGCAATAAACTTTCACTATAAAAGCACATTCCAATCTCATACTACACAGTCTCTGTAAGTTAAGCCTCATATAGCGTGGGTGTTGTTCTTATATGGCAGTAGGTATATGGATACAATACGTTGTATCCATACCTACTTTGTACAATGCAAGTATGGCGCAGTAAAAATATACACGATAAAGCACTAGAATTTCTCAACAAATCTAAAATTACGTGTTTCAAATACACTATATAGCCCGAACGAAATACCATATTGAGCATACTGTATTCTTGCGTAGCCTCTACCAGGCTTCGGGAGGCGGCTTGAAAGAGTATAAATCGGCCAAATAGAGAGATAACACGCCAGGGGAGTTGGTCTGCTGGAGAGAACAGTTTGCCGGTAATATTATGTACTCTCTAGCGGACCAACTCCCTCGGCATGTTATCTCTCTATTTGGCCGATTTATACTCTTTCCAGCCGCCTCCCAAAGCCTGGTAGAGGCTAATTCTTCTGATCTTAGCTGAATTTGTGACGTACAGGATGGCTAATTCTTAACATGAATGTAGGTAGAACCACTGTGATGCCAGTATAGTGCATACCTGTTGTAAAGAACGATGTCCGGCCGCCATATTTGCTCGCTGGGGATTCTGATGGCATCCAGACTCCCGTGGTTACTGGGGTTCCACACTAGGTACTCATCTCTCCAGTACTGAAATAATCAGGAATGTTAGGGCAAAACAAAGTATTCGCAGATTATTCAGTAGCTCGTATTACGCACGGAACAAAATCCATTCTTTACGCGCACTTTAAAATATACGTAAAGGCTCAGTTTCTTTCCTTGCATGTACCTTTACGCATTATTTAAGGTATCCTTAAAGATGCGATATCGTGAAGTGACGTTCAAAGTAGATAGACAAGCTAGGGAATTAAAACAAACGTTGTAAACCCACCTGCCGAACCCACAAGTTGGTTATCATGACTCGCTCCTTCGATATCTGAGTGAAAGAAAAAAAAAATAACAAGAAAACATTGGAATTATTGTTCTTTGGAGGATTCGGTGGGCATCCACTGTTGAGAAATATTGCAACATGAAAAAAGTTGATGGTGCTATCTAGGGTACAACTATATTATTTAGTAATTATATATTTTAAAAACGTTCTGCTTTGGGTGGACTGGTAGATCTAAATGGTTTCCGAATCGTTAGCTCTGATCGTGTTTCTATAGCTTGATGTTGTTGTTGCCCTGTTATTTGTGCTTTTTTTTACAGAGTTCAATGCAAGGCCTATACGACCACTTCTCGGCATTGAACTAGAAATATGAGAGAAACATGGCTATGTCAAGAGATGGCGGTGAACGTTTGATTTGAAAGCCTGTAGATTGTAGGTTGGTGGAAAACACTTGTCAGGGAGGGAATTCCAAAGCTTGGCTGTACGGGGAAAGAAACTGTCACTGTAAAAAGATTTCGAACAAGGAATTTGGACAGTGAAGTTGTGTGAGCTAGTGGCTAGTGGAGAACCTAGTGGAACACTTAAAAGTGCTAAAAGTTAAATACATTGACGTACAAACTATTCTGTGTAGTAAAACTCCAGGTAAACACTCTATTTTAGACTTCCAAGACGACACTGAAGAAAAATCTTATGTGCAAGCACATATCGGTATTCAGTTCAACTATGTAATCCGTTTCTTAGCTCCCTACTCTTGATTCTGTATTTGTTTTGCTGGCAGAAATCTAAGTCAAGCGTTGACCCGTACAGAAAAGAATAATCCCGTCTTAGCCGGCCTACTTCCACCAGAAGCGCCAAGTCACGCACAGTTCCTATAAATCCCTCCGCGCCTATTCAACTCGCGGAACCTATGACGTCTGTTTATAAGTCTTACTCTCCAAGCAGAGGTTTGGGTTTTGGCGTATTTTTTAGCGTGTTTTATGCTTTTTCATCGGGATTTCTTTCTTGCACTAGAATCTTTTTTCACACAAACCCAAAAGATCCCAGTGCAAAAAAAGAAAGCCCGATAAAAAAACCTAAAACACGCTAAAAAACACGCCAAAAATAACCCAAACCTCTGCTTGGAGAGTATATAACTGTATGGTCCGCAACGTACATTCTGGTATAGGTGTGTGATGGTTTCTCTCTTGGTCAAATAAAAGTACTATGATAAACTCTATACACGTTCCAAAGGCGTACGACTGACGGGGGGCGCCATAAACTTACTCCAACCGTTGGTCTCTTTGTCTTTAAAATCACAATTAAATTTTGCCACAGATTGACTCCTACCTATACAAACGAACGTTTAAATAAGAACTTGTACTGTTAGTTCAGGCTTATCAATATCATGGTGCATCATAAGTTCCATAGCCAATTAAAGGATACCTTACAAAATCTGAAGACATGAAAGGATGAAAGCGACAACGGCTATGTAAAGAGACAGATGATTGGACAGTTATTTGAACTCACCACATCGATCATAAATTTCATAGCCAATCAAAGTATACCTTACAAGACATGAAAGGATGAAAACGACAACAGCTATGTAAAGAGACAGATGATTGGACAATTATTTGAACTCACCACATCGATCATAAATTTCATAGCCAATCAAAGTATACCTTACAAGACATGAAAGGATGAAAACGACAACAGCTAAGTAAAGAGACAGACGATTGGACAATTATTTGAACTCACCACATCGATCATAAATTTCATAGCCAATCAAAGTATACCTTACAAGACATGAAAGAATGAAAACGACAACAGCTAAGTAAAGAGACAGATGATTGGACAGTCATTTGAACTTACCACATCAATGATCTGTCCGAGTGCGACGTCGATGGTCACCGTTACGGTGTCAGTGCTGTTTCTTACGGGCCTGCTCGCGAAGGTGTAGTTAGACAACAACTGCCGAATCAGGGCGTTCTCTTCTGTGGAGTTAGTCCCCTCCACTATTACTGAGTAGAAACATGTGTAACAGAGATATCACTCACATGAATATCAAGCTGGTGTGTTATGCAAAAAGGCAGTTATACCGGCTTTTTTAAAATCTATATATATAGATACAGTAAGAAGGTACTAGTATATGATTAAGGGGTTGGCTCTGTCACAAAATCTTGTCTTTATTCCAAGTGTACTACTATTCTTGATTTTTGAGACATGTTTATAAATACTATTGGCAAGTCTATACCCCATTATAACTATATCAAACTAAGGACGTTAACATTAGAATTACCACAAAAAAGTATTCACTTAAAACGAAGGATTTTTGTTCATAGTCTAAAGAAATAGACGTTTTTGACACGGCTTTTAAAGACTTTTGCATACAACGTTGACTATGTCTTTATATATGTTCAACATCTAAACACCTTTATCAGTCTTCCACACATTATAGCTAGACCTGAAGCTTTCGAGGAAGTGGCAAAGTTTCTATATCTGTATCTGTATAGCCAGTATAACCACCCTTCGTCGTAACACACCAGCTTCACAGGCACACGGCGCGGCGGCAGCTGGCTACGTTACAGTGATCATCTTGTTACACCTAACCCTTGAACATCTAGCTCTAAAGATCGTTTAAAGCTATCTAATGACAATGCCCCTACTGTACTTGGTGACAGCGAGTTCCACTCTGCGATATAGTTCTAGGAAAGAATGAATTCTTGAACACCTCAATCCTTGGTTGATAACTCTGGTACTTGAAGGCATGGCTATTTCTTGTTCTCTTCTGAGCTGGTATTAAGTACTTAGTAGTTGGTACGTCAACCAGTTTATTAGTCATTTTGTACATCATGCATAGTCTGGACATTTTTCGACATTTGACGAAACAGAAACAAATGTAGTTCAAGAGAACGGACTCAAACTTCGAAGGTTATTTTTTTTTAGTCTAACCACCAACGTCATTCTGACAAACAGACTTCTCGTCTGTCAAATTGGCGGCTATTTTTGGTAAAGGTTCGTCAGATATAAAAGAAAGTGTCACCCTAGATTCGGTGTTGGGACAAAGCACGTGCGGTCTTCTTTGTTTGAAGAACGCTCCACTGAATATGGCATCACGTTGGTAACAATACATTCGTGTATCACTCTGGGTAACTTACAAATACCTGGTCTTCAAATACGCGTCGCGAACCAGACGTTATGTGTTAAAACTACCTTCGTGTATCCTAGCCTCCATAGCATGCCAAAAACTGGGGGTTTGGGGGGTCTTCAGGGTCTTTGGGAGCTTTTATGTGCTATTTTCTGATTGCATTAGACAACATAGCCGGCCTGCAGCTGGTTGAATTACCCCCGTTTAGAACTGGGCTTTTAAATCAGAAAACAGCAGAAGACCACCAAACCCCCAGTTCTACGGAGGCTACAGCTATCCCACGAAAACTTCAGATTAGCATCATAACATGAATGACAATACTGTCGCAAAGATTTGGAACAACAAGTTATGTGAAAGTAACAGATAGACGCCGAAGGCTTCTTGTAAGGCATTTGGTCGTTGCCAGTAAAGGAAAAAAATACGGTACAAGAATACTATAGTCTTCTTAACGGCCTTTTGTCTTAACTCTTCTACACGTATATTGGTATGTTATGTTGTTGTTTTTTTGCTGTGTCGTTTTTTTTCTTCGTGGAATTTTCAAAGATGCAGAGCTGGCTGTTGACAAGTTTTTTTTTTCTATCATCAGACAGGTTATAGTAAGTTTGTATGACACATCTAAGATATCTATCATAATTTTATGCCCTCATGATGCAAATTTGCTAGCGTTAAGGTATCTTACAACGAATTTGACAGGACCAATTGTATCTAGCCTAAATCTAGTTCTATGCCTGAATGGGTTACGGTTTAAGGATAGGATCGGGCGCGGTTCTGGATAGTATCCGGGTATCCAAGAACGTAGATTTGCCTCCAGTACGGTTCTGGAAACGCGTGGACTATCCAGAACCGTCTCCTATGTATATGTGTGACAGGCTGAATAAAAGTTCTAAACGGGAACTATGCGGACCCAGATGTCTCACTGAGGGACGACTGCGTGTGCAAGATGTCGGTTAGCTTGAGGAATGAATCCCCTCTACTGTATATAGGTCTCCTATGCATAGTTTTGGATAAAGCACAGTTCTGGGTACAATAGGGCCCTAGCCGCCGTTCAATGCTTCAACCTACTGTGTCTAAAGCAACACAAATTATTCTTCCTCGTTCTTACCTGATTGGGAGACAACTCCACACATCAGAATAACCAGTGTAGCCAAGGTCTTCATTCTTCCACCGATCTCACGACGTTGTTGGACGAAAAAAATCCAGAAGGATCCTCCAAATGCTCCTCACAACTGGAGCGCAGAGCTACATTGTAACACTATAACATTCCTCTTGCGTGCACTGCACTGTACGCAGGTCCCTGTTTCTAGTGTTTGCTCCCGAATGCGGCGCGCTTTTGTTGTCTGACCCTTCTCACGGCAATCAAGCGTTTCTGAGGATAGCTGGCGAAGTAGGGACCTTTTCCCGTCTTCAGGGTACAGCTACAAGCGTCTGTGGTCGGGCAAGGTGGTGTTCTGTAGCCGAGGTGGAAGTCTTGTCAGAATGGCGGCGTTCTGTGTTGCTGTAGGCTGTTTTCTGGCGATGTTTTGGTGCAGAAGCACCTGTACTCATGCAAGGTGTACTCACAAAGCCGGGTGTTTGCTGGGGGCTTTTGTGACGTCTAAGTGGGCTATACCACTGACAAAATAGGGGAGGGCTTCAGCAGAAAGAAACGAGTGTGTGTATGCCTCTCTCTCTCAGTGTGTATCTGTCAATGGTTGTGTGAGTTTATGGGATCGAGCACAGCACGAAAACAAATATCTAAGCAAACTTTCTACAATATGTAAAGAATTAGTTAAGGTGGGAAATATTTCAGTAGACTTCGTAAAGGCGGCTGAAAGGCAAGTTTCGCCTTTCCGTCACCTTTCAGTGCGCTTGAATATGACGTAAATATAATTTATACCTTTACGTATTCTTTTACGAATCCGTAAATAGAGGGCCCAAAATACCACAATATTGTGTACTACTGTATTAGACACTAGCACACTGTTAACTTTGCAATGAGGCAGTCTTACAATGTGACTTTTGACCCTTTCAGGTAGCGCTATCCTCCGTAGCAGGCTTATAGAAATGGGGGTTTGGTGGTCTTCGGCTGTTTTCTGATTAGCCCAGTTCTGAAAATAACGGGGGTAATTCAACCAGGCCAGCTATGTTGTCTATATGCAATCAGAAAATAGCACATAAAAGCTCCCAAAGATCCTGAAGACCCCCAAAACCCCCAGTTTTTGGCATGCTATGGAGGCTAACAAAGCGCAGACAACAAGCTCCATTGCCCTAGGCGATATACCCAATTTTGTACACAAAAACCAATCACCCGAAAAACAAGATACAAGTACTTACGTTGTTATCAAAACATGTTTGACACAAAGTCTCCACACATGTAGTTAAACAGTCACCATGTATTTTGTTCATCAATATTTAATGTACTACGTATTTTTATATGAAATTCAATACAATTATTACTAGAGAGGTAACATTTACAAAGCAAATGCATAATGTTTACCTTCGCATGTGGTCTGCTCTGTTAATTCTTACTCAAATACATTCATATGTAAGGTCAGGCAAGAGTATAAATCCCTCCTACTATTAAATTGCAGCATTATGTAACCCAACACCAATTACCATGGCGAGAGACGTCAACAAATCAGGTCATTGGCCAGGTCAGAGGTCAGTGTTTGGAACGGAAGAAGAAGAAGAAACGTAGCGAAAACAATATGTTTTCCTTCGGTAAACATAACAAGCAATAGCAAAACCTGAAAATCACTGCAAACTGTAATGCTTCAAATACGAAAGATGTTGTTGAATTGTTGAAGAATTTGTCCTAATCTAATTTTTCATTATTTTGTGATGATTTCCATGTTAGGACACCTTTTCAGAAGCCACCCTGTCAATGTTATGTTAATTATTCCGACTGATTGAACGCTACAATGGCGGCGCTACCACACCACGTCCTGTCTTGCGGGTGATTTAATCCTCCCAAGTGTACGGTGAGATATACCTTAGTTTGTTTTCGTCATTCGTTCTGGTAGAAGTAAAGCAATGCTGCAAGAAATAGCAGCAACCAAAACAAATCAAAGAATCAAAATAGAAGTATACTCTGGTATTAAAAAACAGTAGTCACGTTTTCTACAGCTTTTAATCATGTTTTGGTCTATTTTATTCCTGTTATTCAGGAATGTTACTTGGTGCCATTCAACATACAAAAACAGACTGCAGTAGGACTGATATTAGTGTTGACTAGAGCATATGTTCTATATTTATGTCTATATGTGATATTTGTTCTTAGGCCACAGCAAGTAAATTTTATGGATGACATCCTCCACAGACTCCAAATCTAATGCGAGCGGGCGAAAAAAACAAGGCGGGCCGAAAAAACAAGGTTCCTACATTTTAAAATGTTGACTCAAGCATTGTACAAATGGTTCTGATTCAGTGGGAACATCACATATACACAGCCAGCATCACATATCACTGCATCAAAGTAAGAAACAAAACATTAATTCAGAGCCTTTTCTTTTCTCCTCTCTGCAAAGTTATCTGCCATCCACCTTCCGGCATGGCAACGGACATCTTTGTCCATTTTCGGCATGGTGACCACTGTCAGAAGGCAACAAAATTTCTTGTTTTTTTTTCAAAATCAGGCGAAAATTAATGCGCGCGCTGATGTCATCCATAAAAATTACTTGGTGTGGCCTTATTCTAGTGTCTGTGTAAGATTTTAAAGTATCCAGAGACAACTGAAGATCAGGTCACGGACCTGAGGGTGATCTGCTGGCAAAAAATAAATAAATGAAATGTCCTTGAATTAAGATTAAAAAATAACTGACAGTACGTTATTGAGCAAAACGCCAAATTACGGCCACTACTACTAGGATACTGCAAAACCTACTGATAGAAATGCATTAACACCATCTATATGGCACATGTACAAAATGCCTGCCTTGTCTATCTAATTCAATCTAATTCAGCCTGTAGCCATTTATTGCAATACAATACAGTACAATGCAATGCAATGCAATGCAGACGGAAACTATATATAGACTTTAGTTACGATTCACCATACTAATATTGCTCCAGCAATTTTACCATCGAGCAAATTATTTTCAACTGTGATACATGTATGTACAGTAAATGCATTGGTAACAACCTTAGCTAGCAAACTTAGCTGAAACTACGTGACCACTAATTTAAATACTTACAGCTCACAAATATGTTTCTACAATGTTTAGGCTTGCATTTTTAAGATACTTATGGGGCACTAGGTCTCTGTCTAAGATACAGGTTGCTTGCTAGCCTCTACCAGACTTTAGAAGCGGGCGGCAAGAGTAATTTGTCAAATAGATAGATAACATGCCTGGGGAGCTGAACCTTCTGAAATGGCATTTCCTGCGTTTTTGAGAGGATTTCAAAGAAAAAATCAGAGATAACTTTTTATTCAATGACAAAGTAGGCAGTTTTTCTACGATTCCAGCCCCACTGGTGATACGAATCAGTCCATCTAAAGAAAAATCTTGGAGCTTTAGATAAAAAGGGGACCAAAAAGTGGACCTTTGAGCCTTGTTGAACCCCCCGAACCCCCTGGCTACGGGCATGCTTGCCACTCCAATTTGGACTCTTTCCAGCCGCTTCTAAAGCCTTGTAGAGACTATCTATAGCTAGCTTCAAGTAAAGTTGTACAAGCTAGAAGAAATTTGCTCGCCTTGTAGTACTCTCCAAGCAGAGGTTGATGGTGGAAGATCGTTAGCTTTTTATATATATATGGCCCTTTTTTGTCGCTACCACCACCACCTTGGGTGGGGAAATGGTTACAGACTGGCCAATTTGATACTGTCTTACCCCCACCAAAATATCTGCTTGGAGATTAGCCTTGTAGTGCATTTGCCACTCCAATTTTCACTCTTCCTTGAAGCCTGGCAGAGAGTATCTACTAGTAGCTTCAAGTACGTAAAGTTGTGCAAGCTAGATAAAAATATAATATGCTCGCTTTTTAGTACTAGAACTACGTTCCATTCTTAGCGCGCGAGAAGCATGGCGAGGCCCATGATGACTAGCGCGACCAGGAACAACACCAAGAGGCACCTGTCGATCCGTTTAGCCAAGAACTTCCACTCCTTCTCCAAGGCCGTGTAGGCCGTCTTCTTGTCGTACTCCTCTATAAAATGGGCGATGTTCTGCTCAATTCTCGCGAGAGTCTGCGAGACCTTCTGGGTTTCCGGTTCGGTGGGCGTGGTCTCCCCCGGAACTCCATTGCTCCTCACGGTGTGTGACCTTGGATTTTTGATGACCTTGACTTTGGTGTCCTTTGGAGGACCCAGGAAGAAGACTTTGCGAAGCCACATCGGGATTGGGTAGATTTTGGGCCCGCGGAAGTGAAGACTGAGGACAAAGATGGTCATGGCCGAAGACAGGGTGACTAGCACGATAACTCCTCCAAAAAATTTTCCTGAAGAAAAAATCAACAAAATGTTGGAGTGATGTGTAAATGATGGCTTCAAACTGAAACATGATTAAGGAAACATCATTTACCATAAATCAAGCATGAAATAAGGTAGAACCACCACCTCACACATGTAGTAGCAAGTCTGCATTATTTACGAAGGCCCATAGCTACAATCATTTCGGTCCCTACGCAAAACTGTTTCACGAAATTTGTCGCCGTGGGCCTTCGTAATTACTTCTAGGATGGCTTACCTATCAGTGGAATGCTTGTCGATATCGGGGGAAGTTTCTCCGTTACCAGCTGCATGAAGACGACCAAGGACAGCAACATCGTGATGCTCAGCGCCAACTTTTCCCCGCTATCCGATGGCAGGCAAAACCCCAAAAGAGCCAACAGAGCAAGCAGAATACAAGGCGCTACTACGTAGTAGTTGTAGTACAGTGTCCTGCGGGATATCTCTATGGTGTACTCGATGGTCGGAAAGGGGTTTCCGGAGATGTTTCTGTGCACGTGTCTGTCAGCTTCGAACGATCTCAGCAGCCACTCTCCATTCACTATGAACTCTTCCGTCACGCCCTCTGCCGACTTGTTCACGAAGTCCATGAGCGCGCCGTGGTATGTCCAGGAGCCGAACTCTAGCGGACACCTTTTTTTTATTCAGAAAACAATCAGCGATAAATACAAATGAAAGGACACAGACTTAGGTCCGTATGTGCATAATTGGTATGAGTTGATATTACACCTGCCAGAGATTATAAACATTACATGTATCAAAGTCCCATGATGTAAAACACTGGAGGCACAGAATTCCCTAATCAATTATGCTAATGAAATCATAGTTTGCATAATTTGCATTCAATAGGGTAGATCTCTGTCTAAGCTACCCAGAAACCAAAAATCATAAAAATACATTGTTCCTTTGTGAATTTATCTGCTCTGAAAGGTTTCGCCAGAAACCACCCTGCAGTTCCAGAACAAGCTGCTAGGGGGACCAAACCCACACCACTTATTACTGACAGGAAAAGCTATCCGCCACGCAAGTTCTGCTGCAGTACCAAGGTCAGCCACCAGGAGGCCCAAAACCGACCTTGATCTTTGCCTACGCAACACCTACCCACATACCAAATATCATTACAATCCATCCAAAGGCACACAGACAGACACACAGACAGACACGACAAAAACAATACCTCCATTTTTCATGAGGTAATGAGCAGTCGTTTCATAAGGACACCCACAGCTAGTTGTAACAAGACCCCGAGTACAAAGACCGTGCTCACCTCTGCACGTCGTACGGGAAGAGGGTGACGTCCAGCAGGCATGAGCTGCGCACGGTGAACGGGTATCCCCAGAACACGTCGCCGGTGTGCTGGATTATGGCGTTAGTGTCCGGAGTCGCTGACCAACCCTCGTCGTGTAGCCTATTGAAAATAGAACGAAAATCGAAAATAGAAAATAAAACTTAACCAACAAGAGTTTCGAGATCTCATACCTCCATGAAATATGGGCTTGACATGTAAATGTAAATTTCTTCTTTAATATGCAAATGACCTCTACATTAACATAATAGATGCATCGTGATGGGGGATAGGGGGTCCAAACCCACACCACTTATTACTGGCAGGAAAAGCTATCCGCCACACAAAAATCAAGTCCATAGCATGTCAAGGACAAAAGATACAAAAACCGGAAGTTCTGCTGCAGTACCAAGGTCAGCCACCTGGAGGCCCGAAATTGACATATATGGTCAGCCAGGAGTTTGAATCCCTCTTTCTATAAAAATGCAACATGATGTAACCCCACACCAGTTACCATGGTGACAGACGTCTCGTTCATGTCATTGACCTTATTGATTTGGAGAAGAAGAGGAAAAAGATCAAAAACAAAATGTTCTCCTTCGGTCGACTGTATAACGACTGTATGTTGACTGTATATTTACCTGTTGTACTGTGGTATATTGCTGTATAATGACTGTAAAACGACTGTATATGGACTGTATATTGACTGTATATGTACCTGTTGTACAGGATGGTATCCGGCCGCCATATCCTCTCGCTGTTGATGTGCACCATGGTGATGTTACCGTTCTCCTCAGGCTTCCAGGTGAGAAACTCATCTCTCCAATACTGTGAATCAATCAATCAATCAATCATTCAATCAATCATTCAATCAATCAATCAAGCAATCAAGCAATCAAGCAATCAAGCAATCAAGCAATCAAGCAATCAAGCAATGGTAAAACAATCGATCAGTAATCAACCAAACATCAGCCAATAAATCAATAACAAAATTTCAATCAGCAATCAATCAATCAATGACAAAATATCAATCAATGACAAAACACCAATCACTGACAAAACATCAATCAGCAATCAATCAATGAAAAAAATCAACCAATCAGCAATCAATCAATCAATCAATGACAAAACATCAATCAGCAATCAATCAATAAAAAGCATCAATCAATCAGCAAGCCTCAATCAGCAATCAACCAATCAATCAGCAATCAATCAATCAATGACAAAACATCAATCAGCAATCAATCAATGAAAAATATCAATCAATCAGCAATCCTCAATCAGCAATCAACCAACCAATCAATCAATCAGCAATCAATCAGCAATCAATAACAAAACATCAATCAGCAATCAACCAATGAAAAAACATCAATCAATTTAGCAATCCTCAATCAGCAATTGATCAATCAATCACCAATCAATTGTCATAGTCTGACTTGCCATTTAAACAATAATGACCGCATGGTAGATGTAGTTGGAATATCCCAAAGATGATCGATCAAAAATCAATACGTACCTGGCGCACCCATAGATTTGACGCAAGAACCTGCTCCTTCGCATTCTGGAAAAAAATCATGTTAAAGATATTAAAACAGCACGTATGGGTGTTATCCTCCAAAATGTCGTGTCACCATATATGGTGGGAGCATAATCACGTAATGACTTGGGTAACACCCTGAATTCAATACATGGGGATTACTCCACCCGGAGCAAGGTTTACCGAGAGCCATGAAGTCAACGAAAGTCTGCCCTGTACGTCCGGCATAAATAATATATAGTCTTATTCTGCAAAATCATGCCCGAGGGCTAATGGTGACTGTTTTTTTCTCGGTCCCCAAAAAATTCCCTATTGACACAAGCATTAAGCAACATGTCCAAGGTGACCACCTGGCCAACGCGACCGCGACCGCCCTGAGTTGGTTCCGCTCAAGGCTTGATACCTGCCCATGATGACCACATCATTTTCGAGTATATTGATGATAACTAATGAGAAATCATGGAGAAACCAGCCAGTTTGCCTTTATTAATAAATTATATTATATTGCTGGATGATGTTTTTGTTCGACGTTTATTGTTCCATGTGCCACCCTCCCCACATGCATTCACCACAGAACTGAAGATATTTACAGCATTTGACATTAAACCATTTATGCCTCAGTCATGTTTTGAGGCGACCCTCTTCAAGGAGACCACCTGTCCAAGGTGACCACTTTTCTTTGGTCCCCTGGGTGGCCGGCTTGGACAGGTTTGACTGTATAACGTTAACTACTTATTATGTACCTACCAGCTCTAGAATCTGCGCTATGACGATGTCAAACGTAACTGTGATGATGTCAGATGCGTTCAGAACGGGCCGCGCGTCGGTGGAGTAGTTCTCCAGGAGCCTGGCGATGAGCACGTTTTCATTGATCGCGCCTGTGGAGTGTACGATGGATAACAATGGGAATTTGATAGTTGAGTATTGAAAAAAAGCAAACAAACAATCAATCAATCAATCAAATGGTTCATTTGTGAAAACCTGTAGCCATTGGCTAAATTATGTCTTGTTGTACAATTTACTTTTATGGCGGAAGAAAATGACATTAATATATTTATTCGATAAATTCCGCATCATCACACACAAATTCCCTAGAGATAACAGAGTTCGACATTAAAACAATCTATTAAATACTCAATATATATAAAATACTTGATCATAACAGGACTAAAAGAACGGCTAAACAAACAAACAAACAAACAAACAAACAAACAAACAAACAAAAAATAAACAATCATGCAGTGACCCTGGGTTTTACAAAGAGATAGTAAACGCTAAAAATATCGCAATCAATGAAGTATGCTACACACATGCATTCTACGACATTGGTATCATTTTCCAATATTTCTTTTTGCAACTTCCGGTATATATTTGCTCATTTTTCAACTATTTTGTACGATTTACAGTATGCTTGAAAACTTTCTTTCTTGAAATGGCCGAAAATTCATGCGCGCGCGGATGTCATCCATATAATCAAATCAACATGGCCTAATATAAATCTTATGTACAACAACAAGATGACTGTTGACATATGAGTCACCCCATGGCCAGATGACCTTTCATATTGAAGACAATTGGGTGTGGACTAACCTCGCTACAAATGTTGCCAAATTCTACACATCACTAAACTAGAACATCGTAAAATTACCAACGATGTACAGTCTTTTCTAGCCTCCGTAGCAGGCTTATAGAACTGGGGGTCTGGTGGTCTTCGGCTGTTTTCTGATCAGCCCAGTTCTAAAAAACGGGGGTAATTCAATCAGGCCGGCTATGTTGTCTATATGCAATCAGAAAATAGCACATAAAAGCTTCCGAAGACCCTGATGACCCCCCCCCCAAAAAAAACCCCAGTTGTTGGCATGCTATGGAGGCTAAGTCTTTTCTAAAAGTAAATGGAATCTTGTTAGAAGTATCCTACCTTGAGGACTGACGATGGGTATTAAGCAGGCAACTTGAAGGACAACACATGTCAGGGTGATGACCCTTGATGACATCTTCAGATACGTGTCAGGGTCACCTGCAAAACATACCTTAATAGGGGAAGAAAGTTGTCATTACATATAGATATGGATTCGTCTGTTTAAAATAACTTGTACCGGGCACATGACTTGTTATAGTTTTCCATAACATTTCAAACAATGTACAGCTTAAATTTTCGTACTAGTCTACATAATATAAAGAAATTTGTAGTTCTAAAGTTTTCTCCTCTATTTATCTGCGAGTGAATATATTGATATGAATCTTTATTGCATGTTCCTGCCTAGATGGGCTAAATGCACAAATGTGACCAAATGTGGTCGAGAGGATGAAAAAATATGTTTTGAGTGTTGCATACTGGAACGCTATGTTCTAATGCTAAGTGCTATGAGTCTATATATTACAACAACAATACTACCTATCATCTACTGTTAGTTGCTATTTTAAAAGAAAGGATTGGATATTGAAAAGACAAACAATTGGTTTTGTCTTCAAGTGAGAGATAATATCTACTTGTTGCATACCGATGTCTAATAGCTGTTGTATCTAAGGTTAAATCTTGATCTGGGCCAAGGTCGAGTCTTAACTATTATCTTAAAGGCATCTAATGCAGTTTTTAGGGCTTGGGAACCCGACTTTTCAAAGCCAATATTCTAGTCATACTTCTACATACTGAGTTGAAGCTACACGTCCCAATGTATATTGACCCTCAAAAATACAAACAATTCTGACGGAAAATGGTTACTGGAAGGGCCCTGGGCTGATTTTTAGGGTACCACCCAGAAAATAAAGGACTCACCTTGGGGCTTGTTTCTGCAGTTTTAAATGCCCAAAGTATGAAATGCTGACTCAAATGTGCTAATGTGAAGCAGTATGTGTCAATATCACGAAGATTGCCTTATTAAGAATATTTCCAATTTTGCTACCCTGAAATCGCATTGGATGCCTTTAACAGTTTTTGAACAACATTAACAACCTTCATCAAATGTATTCACTCTACCTAATACATCAACATCTAATGTTGTCAACGATATTGGTGATACAAATACTGTCGTGTGTTTGTCTTGTGTCTGTCGTGTGTCAGACACACGTTCAGCAACACCGTAGACTTCATAATAATACGTTAGATTTCTAATCTTCCCATATACTCACAGCATTGTAGGAATACGTCCATACTTACTAATAAAAAAAGAAGTTTTTTTTTGCAAATTCGTGCCCGGGGGCTAATTGCAAATTACAAACATAAAAGAACAATGAAACAGAGTATAAAATAACTAAAATCTACATGATAAAAGGTAGTTGTCTAGAGCTAGAGCTAGAGCTATGTCTAAAAAAAGGGGTTTGACTTCTCTTTTTTAGACCATGGAGGACGTAATGTCCCACCTTTTCCAAAATTAGTGGGTTTGGGGAAATTAAAAGAAGAATAGTTTTTTCTTTGTAAGTTTAGAAAAATTGGGATAAAATAAAGTGTTAAGAATTTGTTACTTACTAAATCACAAGTATTAAGAATGTGTGGAAGCAATTAACGTCTGACTAAATTTCAATCTTGTAATGTTCTATGTAAAGTCATGATCATGTCATGCAAAGTGTCTAAAATCAACAATGTGCTCACAGTCCATGAACATAGTGTTAAATTTTGTCAGTCGCTTAAACAAACTAAATGTACTAAGAGAGAGACTTGGACTAATGAAATGTTAACAGATATGTATTTTTGTAGCCCTCAAAAATCTAGTTTTTTAATAAAAAAACGTCAGTGTATGAGAGATAGCAATAAAAAGCGTGATATATATTAAGCATGGGTGGGGCATTACGCCAGTAGAACGTACTGCACCTGCACGAATCCCATAATGTATTGTGCATATTATATAATAGTAATGATAGATGATACTGTTCTTAGCTGTGAATTAGCAGTAGATTAACACTAAACTACAGTACCAAATATCTCTGTGCAGTTCAATCCGTCGACGTTTCTCTCTTGCTAAGTGACTCAAGTCTGATGTTATGACTTAGACTAGTACAGTTTACAGTCGTTGACAAATCTACTAATTAAGGAGACCTTTACTATTGTGCATAGCACATCGGAAAATTGTCTCATTTGAGGTCGTAATCGTGTATTTATCGATGACATCCTGTCTACAGTTTTCAGACGTTGTGTTGGAAAGGATACCGGCCTGAACCGGATAAAATTATACTCTGATGCAACGTTGGACAAACGCCAGTGTGCTGAGTAATATGTTATGTAATAAGATCGTGGGAACCAAAATCGTGGGAAATAGCACGTATACCTATTGGGAGGCCTCGAAATTATCTTTGCTTCCTATTGTCCCATCACTGTCCCAAAATAATTTTGATTGTCCCGAAGTGAGGATGAACTGTCCCAACCTGTTTTTTTTTTTTTTGGGGGGGGGGATTNTATGACTTCACTTGAAGTAGAGCTG